CAGCCCTTTTTATTACAGATGAAAAAGAAAAAAAAAAAAAAAAAAAAAAAAAAATATAGCATGCAAATATTTTCTCCCATCTGCGTGGTTGTCTGTTCGCCTCTAGATTGTTTCCTGTGGTTGGCGGAAGCCTATTCATAAGTTTAATCTTTAATTTAATCAAGTCCATTTATTTATGATCGTTACTGTGTTGGGCTTGGGGCTCTCTTCATAAATTCTTTGCCTAGGCTGGATGTCTGTAAGAGTTTTTTCTAGCATTTTCTTTAGAATAATTATGGTTCATGCCTTAGGATTTATAGTGTTGTTATACATTGCGAGTTGATTTTTGTGAGTGGTGAGAGGTGCGGATCTGTTTCAGTCTTCTACATGTAGTATCCAATTTTCCCAGCACCCTTTATTGAATAGGATTCCTTTCCCTGGTGTATGTTTTTGTCTGCTTTGTCAAAGATCAGATGGCTGAATGAGGATGCGTTTTATATCTGGGTTCTCTGTTCTGTTCCATTAGTTCTATGTCTCTGTTCTTGGAGCCAATATCATGATGTTTTGGTTACTATAGCTTTGTGTGCTACACTCGAAAACCTGGTAAATTTGATGCCCAATTTGTCCTTTCTGCTTAAGGTTGCCTGTTGGCTATACAGGGTCTTCTCTGGTTCCATCGCAAAGCATAGAAATATTCTATTATTTCTTTCCTGTTGGTCTGTTCAGTAATGACAGCCCCTGATGGCACCTCTGGAGCAATGCAAGGAGGAACAAGATAGGCAGAACACAGGTGTCCTCCACACAGTAGCACAGGGGCTCGTGCAGTTGCCACAGGAAGCAGTGACTCCTGTCTCCATTCCTTATTACGCACTTCCGTAAAATCCATAAACGGGGTGCTCCTCCTTCCTTAGCCATTTGTGTTAAACAGACTTCTGGGCCAGCAGGGCCTTTTGATTTGTAGAATGGTGAGAAGTCAAGAAAAAAAGACTTGGGGTGTGACACATTCTCCTCTCTCAGATGCCACTGCGGGGACTGAACTCAGTGGCTGTCATGTAAATATATAACATACACTTCTGTAAGGATTGTCTGTTTCTATAGGTGCGTGTTTTTCTTGGAGCATTCTAATGGCTATGAACAACAATAACAAAGGGAGTCTTTGAAAAGATAAGCGTGGCAAGCACTGTTTAACACATATCTCCTTGTGAGAAGTTTAAATTTTTTCCCAAGAACCATGTCGAAGTTAAGCTTTGTTAAGGCTACTCTCAGCTTAGATAGGGCTTTAAAAAAAATTGTTAGTGGAACTCTAATTCTGTAAATGTTATGCCTGTTTATCTCTTACGGTGATTTTATTAGATGGTGGGAACCTATATAACCCTCTAGTATCACTGAACTTGGAGTTTTTAATCTTTGGATTTATGTTAAGCTTCCTTTGAACCATTAATTTCTAATCACTTTTAACCAAGAAGCAAGCATTTAAAGCATGATTAAAATAAGTGGATTAGGGATTAGCAATTTCTTAAATGAACCTGACTGAATGTAAAATTAATTAAACACAGATTTCAAAGCACTGAAGTAACTTTTGAATACATAATTCTCTATATGCTAGTATAGCAAGTGTGGTGAGGGGGACCCAGAGACCCTCTTAATGGTCATGAGGGCAAATGTATTGTCAGAATAATACTAAGACATTACTTGCCTTTTTTGCTATGTTGATATTTGCATGATTGTGCAAAAGCAAAGGGGGCAACAAACTGTACTAGCAGCCATTGCATTATTCACCTCCATGCATTCAATTTAAAAAAAAAAAAAGTCAGTTTCATATAAGAATGTCCTGTTGAAGCAGCAACAGTGATTTTATTAAATCTATACCCTTGAGGACATCTCTTTTTAATATACTGCAGGATGAAATGAGAAGACATGTAAAATGCTTTGCATCCCAAACAGTGATTTCTGGTTATCTCAAGGAAAAGAGCTAATATATAGTGGGACTGTGCTCCAAGGATGGGAAGAACCACATAGAAATCTTGACTTTATTGTTTGTTGTTGTATATTAGTGGTATAAGTTTGACACTATTTTGTGTGTATTGTACATAGAGCACATGGTAAGTATATTCGAAATATTGGGAATCGGGGTTTTCCTTGCGGTGAAAAGGCCATACTAATGTGGGATTGAGGAGGGGAGGAAGAATCCTGCCACATTGGATTTGAATTCAAGGTGTCCCTATAAATTGTGATTTAAGTATTCAAAATATCTTGCTCTGTCCAAAGAGCCTAGATACTTCATGAACAAAAGCACACGGGTTCTCAGATTTGGTTTCTAAATTCCATTGCCCAATGAAAGGTTCCAGGCCTCCTTGGAGAAATGGCTGATTTGAGGTCTGGAGCAGGAAAAGTATGAGGTTAGCTTGATGTGCTTGTGCTAGAAAGCAAGGAGATGCTAACAGACCCTTAGGGCTGTGTTAGAAGGACATGGAAGCTGGCTTGAAGGAGCTCCAGTGATAAATTTGGGACAACTTGGGACATCAGAAAGAATGATGACAATATGGATTATATAACACATGAATAATAAAAATCTGAATCTACATACATGGCAGGAGAGAAGAGGGAGAGTGAGGGAAGAACTGTGTATAGAGAATGCCAGCTACTATATAAAGGAGGAAGAGAACTTGATAATCACAGTTTTGCAGCCCTTAATGTAGTAATTGATTCAGGCAAGAATCGTCAATAGATGCTCAAACTATTGAGTGAAATGTTATTGCGGAGAATACTCACTAAAAAAGAGAGCCAGATACCACGTGCTTTCCAAAAAGGACATAGCATTTTCTATGAAGTATTTTGCCAAAAGGAACAAACTTGAATTCAACTGAGCCTCTAGAATCAACTACAAATTATGGCAAACCCGAAGGAGTGTGTTAATCACCACCATGGGCTGCAATAAAAAACAAAAACAAAGAAACTCCAGCCTTTGGCAACTGTACGGCCAAATACAATACTTTTTCTTTAAAGAATAAGTTGCAAGAAAAAGATAAGTGGTGAGAAGGGACATAAGAAACGTACTGACCAGCATGTGGACCTGATTTTTGGATCACAAAACAAGTAAACTGAGTTTAGAAAAATGAGGCAGTAGAACGGAATACAGACTACATTTGATGATGGTGCAGGGTGAAATGATACCATGTCTACAATTGCTTTCAAAATAATTTGTAAGAAGAGCAGTTTGACCAGGGTTCAGAGGAAGCAAGATTAAGCAAGAGCAGAGAATTGCTGGGGGATCAACATCTGTGTTCATTAAAATACTGCTCCATCTCCTTTTGACATATGCTTGAAAGTTTTTATAATTAAAGTTTTAAAAAACATGGCTAACAGGCCAGGTGTGGTGACTCACGCCTGTAATCCTAGCGCTTTGGGAGGTTGGTGGGAGGATTGCTTGAGCCCAGGAGTTCAAGAACAGGCCAAGCAATATGGCGAGACCCTGTCTCTTAAAAAAAAAAATAAATAAAAATAGAAAAATTAACTGGGTATGGTGGTGGGCACACCTGTAGTCCCAGCTACTTGAGAGGCTGAGGTGAGAGGTCTGTTTGACCCCTGGTGTTTGAGGTTACAGCGAGCTGTGATGAAGCCATTGCATTCTACCCTGGGCAGTACAGTGAGACCTTGTCTCAAAAAAAAAAAAATCACTTAACTAATAGTGGGATAACCTGATATTTTGTGCCACCTTATGTAGTACATTGAGAAGTACATGTGACCTGTGTAGAATTATTGCCAAAAATACTTAACCTGAATCTAATCATGAGGAAACAATCAGATAAGCTCAGAATGCATGACATCCTATAAGGCAGTTGTCCTGGACTGTCTAAAAAAAAGTTACAGTGCTGTGAAAAACAACAACAAAAAAAGTGTCATGAAAAACAAATACGGATGCATGAACGTTCCTTCAGTAGATCCCCTTGTCCCAAGAAAATTATAAAAAACATTTGGGGGGGTTAGTTGCAGATGTCAAAATGTGGACTTACAGTAAAGGGCTATTATTGAATAAATTATTTTAGGTATGATTATGGTTTTGAGGTTCTTAGGAGCATGTCCTTATCCTTGGGAGATGTATGCTGAAATCTTTTAGGGTGAATTAATATGATGTCTGCAAATTATTTTAAATAATGTGTAGGTATGTATGGATTAGGTTGGCTCATACTAAGTTGCTGTTTTCCTAGGCCAGAAACAGGCAAATATGAGCAAATGCTTATGGTTCAACCTAATATTTGTTGACAGAGAGAAAGCAAATGTGACACATGGTATTTCCAGGTGAAGAACCTATAGGTGTTTGTGCTGTTTTTTTACCTTTCTGTGTGTTTGAACTTTTTAAAAACAAAGAGTTGGGAGAATGTAGTCAACATACAAAAATGAACTCCCAGCAGATGCTTACTTACTTGTATGATTAAGTATGCTGACAACATTCTCCTTGAGATTAATTGCCCCCAATAGCATTTAAATTCTTGTGAAATTCCACAACGACTTAAATTGATTTAGAATATAGAAAAGAGGGAAAGCTACTTATATCTATTGTGTGAACTTTCTGTCTCCGAATCAGAGAACAGAGAACAGAAAAAAAAAAAAAGAACTATCGGTGGAAATTATTTAAGAAGAGTGTAATGATATTTTATGGAATCTTTTTTTGCATGGATGACATTTAAATATGAATCCACTGTAGGAGAAAAAAGAGATCATTGGTTTCTCAGTAACCGTTGCCTGTATTCTTTTTTTTCCTTTTCTTTTGTTGGTTAAGAGATCAAAAATGTCTTCTCTCTAGGCATGGCTTTGACATTCTCTGTAAAACAGGGTGTGTATCTGGAATTTTAAAAAGTTTTATCCCCCGCCACCCCACCTTGTTTTGCCATGAGGTCTCAGGTTTACTGGGCAACCGTGGCAGAGTGATAAAGTTATGAGATTCTTACTCCCCTCTGGAAAATTTCCGTAAGTGATTACAACAGTGCCTAGTTTTATCCTTCTCTTTTGAATCCAAAAAGATCCCAAAAGAAGTGGCTGACATCTTTAACGCCCCCAGTGATGATGAAGAGTTCGTGGGTTTCCAAGATGATGTTCCCATGGAAACCCTCTCATCGGAGGAGAGCTGCGATAGTTTTGACTCGCTGGAGTCGGGGAAACAGGTACGGATGCTTCCTTCCAAGGCAGGTGTGTGCATCTGGAAGCCTGAATCTTGGTTTGGATGTTCTTTTGTTTGAACATGCTCTGAGATGGGTGATATCAATTAATTGCTGAGAATTTTATTTTAGAAGCCTTATGTCTTCATGTTTCAAAAACTACTGAGAGAACCCAGTTTTGCTCTTTTCATCTTTCCCATGTACAGTAAATTTTTTAAAAAAATAAAAGGCACACACAATAGCAAATCCATTTTCTTTGCTCTGTTGGGGCTGTAACCTGTGGGGAGGTTGTGTTCAGAGTCCACCCAGGGAGCCTGCAGGGCAGGGGAGGGCCAGCCCTTGCCACGATGGCCCACCCCGAGGGCTGCAGCCAGGCGGGCGGATCGTGTGGTTCTGATGGGACAATTGCACTCCTTGGTCGTGCGGTGTGATTCCGTTGCCACCTCCCTCTTGAAATTGCTGGGCAGAACATTATTCTTGCTTTAATTAGTTTGATCTCTAGCAAGCACAAGTTGCAGTTCTCTGAGAAGTAGATTCCTGGAGGTTTATATTGTGCCTTAGCAGTGCAATGGCCAATCAAAAAACATCTAGTCTTCAGTGGCATTTTCTTCCGAGTTCATTGCTGTATTTGCAATTCCTCATTCTCCTTCCACCACAGCCTCTCTTAAAAGGCTGTAAATTAAACCCACTCTACCCCAACTGGGCAGGTACACGAAGGGAAGCAGTTAATTATATGTAAGTGAGGCGCCCTGCCAGATTACTCTGACCATCGTGGGTGCTCTGGCCTGGGTGGGAGCTGTGAGCTGTGCTCTCCGAGGTGGCTGGGGGTCCCCGACTCTGCCGTCCTCATCATCTGACATCTCCACAGCATTTGACACCCCCCCACACCTCCTTCTACTCCTTGGGGCTCTTCCTTCCTAGTATACCTTTTGCTCTTTGTGGTTGTCTCTTCTTTTCCTGTCCCTAAATGTAGATGTTCTCTAAGATTTTGTTTTTAGACCTTTTCACTCAAAGTGAGCTCATCGTGGATTGTCCTGCTCTGAGCTGTTCTGTGTCCTTCATGTGGAGCTCGGCTTCTCTCTGCAGCCCCAGGCGGCCGTCCCACTGCCTGCGGGACTAGCCCTGGCTGCTGGAGTGAGATCTGAAATGCCGTGGTTGCCTGCCTGGCGTCTCCTTTTGCCCATCTTTGTACTCGCCTTTCCTTGTTTTTGATGCTGCCCTCTCCTCTCCCATCTGCCCGACTCCTGTGCAGGAGTTGATGAAACCCCGCTGTGTTCGCGTGCATCCTTCCCTTCCCTCTCGTGTCTGTAGCTCTCAGCTGAGTGTTCACCCGTTCTGCTGGGATCCACTGTAGGACTGAGCTCCGTCCCGCTGCCTCCCTTACTCAGAAATTGCCCTGTCTCCACCTCAGCAGTCACCGTCGGATCACCTGGGGGCATTCTGAGCAGCACAGGACTTGTGTGAAGTGCCCAGCTCAGACCTGGCACGCTCTGGCCTGAAGAGACAGTGCAGCTGCTTTGCTGCTAGTCTGGTTTGTCCTTTCCGGCCCCCAAGTCTGACCCCAGCACGCCTTAGATGGCCCATGATAGGTGTGCCAGCTGCTTTTCGCTTATCGTCCGCTGGCCCATACTGTTCTTCCTCCTGGGTGTGCTCTCACTGTTTTTGTAGCCTCTACCCTGGTTCAGTTTTCTAGTTCTTTTTGTATCTTCCATGAATCCTTACTAGATTTCCTTTCCCACCATGTGCCATATTGCTTGTGTGTCCTTTATAATACTGACCCTCACCTTGGTTACTTGTGGCTCTGTCTGGCTCCCCTCCTAGATTATAAACTCTTTGAAGGAGGGGACCTCATACGTGACTGCTTTCTAGCTTCCCTGGCTCTGACTTTTTGTCCTTCTGTTCTGTCCTCTTTCCTCTTGTATTAAGCACTCAGCACCCCCACCTGAGAGTGTAGAATGAGCACTGGTGCACATTTGCTGGGTACAGTGAGAATGGGGTGCTTGTCTGGTTGTCTGGTTCAGCAGGCCATTGCTTTCCCGTCTGTTTCTTCATGTTGCATGAGCTTCAAAAGAAAAAACTTAACGTCCCGTGTTAGCTCCACTTCTGGTCCATTATTTGCTCACCGTCTTGACGGTGGCACATGCAGGTGACTGAGGCCCGCACCATAGTGCCCGGTATTGGTTTTGTAGGGTAGTGTCCAGGTTCCAGAGAGCAGAGAGCTGTGTAAGGGCTGTCACCAAGAATGCAGTGAAGCAGCGTGCAGTGGAGTTTGGCTTCATGTAGACCCACATGAAAACCAGTTTTTATACCCTTTGGAGTTGGGAAAAATAAAAGCATTGGTCTCAGTTTAAGACTGTGGCTAAGTTGTTTTTCTCTATCAGGACTGGTTACCAAAGATACTGATTTCTCCCAGGCTGCCCACTGTCCTGGGGCCGGGCCAGCACATGGTATAGAAAGAACCAGAAGGATGGGAAGATTGGAACTTACTGCTTCAAGGCTTGACCTGTTCTCTTTGGGCCTAGGCAGGGGCTTTAGATAGTTGAAATCTACACACGGAGTCCTGCCCCTGCACACACACGATCCATTTTAAAGCCAGCCAAGAGAAGCTGCGAGAACTTGGCACACGCAGTATGTGTATGCTTCCTGGTCTCCCTTAAACACAATTTGAATTTCACTTTAAAGAAACTTCTTTTTTGTGTGTATAACTTTTTTTTTTTTCAGGCAGCTGCACTACAGCTATCAACAAAGGAACAAAGTAATTTAGCTCTGAGCACACTCACTCCAATTACCCATAATAATTCATAGGAGACATTTTTAAGCTCACAAAGTGCTAGATGTAGGCATTTCTTTTTCTGTGCCCCTATAAGTTTTTCCACTCGTCTATTATATCTGTTTTTCTCCAGAGATATCTGAGCTGGAAGAAGTATATAATTAAAGTCAGGGAAAGGCAGGGGGGAGATGAAGATTCTCCAGGATGCTGTTTGGAGGGGTCACAGCTATATCGGGGGGTGGGAGGGAGAGAGAGACGGAAGGGGAACGAGGCAGACCGGAGCCCTGATGAAGCATGGTGAGGGGGCCGCTTTTGTGGGTCTCCCTTTGGTCAGCAGTTCTCCCTTTCCTTCTCCTTTCTTCCAGGCATACTTTTAAGTAGAGCTGGGCTTCCTTCTTTGCAGTATTTCAAAAGAAAGAAAATGTCACTACTGGAAAGTATCTTTCTTTTTTGAAGTAGTCACGTCACATCTTTCTTTCTGTGCTCACTTGCCACCCGCCCATGGCTGCTCACCTCTCACCTCCTGCGGGAGAGGAATTCCTGGGGATGAGGAAGGGGTGAGCTTTCCATCAGCCCCCCTGCCTGCCCCCATCCCACAGGAACTGGGAACGGAGCAAGCCCAGGCTCTCGGCGGTGAGCGGTGCGATGTCCCGAGCCCTTCCGTCCGTCCCTCAGAGAAGCTGGCTGTTTGTGGAAGGGTGGCACACTCACCCACTTGGAGGAGCCGGGCTTGGATGGCTGTTAGGAAGGGAAGCCAGCGTGTGGGAGGGAGCCAGGCTTTCTCCTCACGTCTTTTTTCCCATGTGTTTCCAGTTCTGAGTGAAAGCAGACGTTGCCGGTTGCCAGCTTTGGCAGGAGAAGCCGAGTTCCACGAGCACTTACAAGTCACACGCCAGACGCTAATTGAGACTACACCCATTCCGATTTCCTGAAATTGTCTGATTTGTAGGTCTAAATTTCCATCAGCTTTAGAAAATGTGTGTGTTTATTGTGGTGAAATACACATAACCTAAGATTTACCATTTAATGATTTTTGAGTGCCCAGTTCAGCGGCTTTAAGCACGTTGACACGTCGCTGTGCAGCCATCGCCACCATGCGTCTCCAGAAGGTTTCTGTCGTCCCAGCAGACACTCTGTCCCCATTCAGCAATTCCCCACTGTCCCCGCCCCCGGTATCCTCTGTTCCACTTTCTGTCTCTGTGATATACGTGTGTTTTCAATTTAGCAGGATGTGCGTTTCCACTCTAAATACTTCACAGAAGAGCTAAGAAGAATTTTTATAGAGGACACTGACTCAGAGACCGAAGATTTCGAAGGGTTTACGCAGAGTGAACTGAACGTGAAGAGTAACCCAGAAGTGATGGTAATAATTACAGCAGGAAGGGATGTGGGTTGGAATGATTTTAGTCCTGTTTCTGAATTGTGTAGTTGTGTTTGTAAGAAGTCACTTCACAAAGGAAATGATTTTACTTTTTCTTAACATATTCATCTTACAAGCCAGTTGATAAAACCTAAAAAATGGCCTCTCCAAGGCTAATCCTTGGCCCTCCAGTCGGTTATTCTCTTAGAGAAAATCCAGTTGTCTTCCCCTCGTGCCTGGAGGTTTGGGGAATGAATGTGTCTCAGGCATTTTTTTCTGCACTTTCAAAGAATTTATTCAGACTTTCTTGAACCTCTTGTATCTTTCCAGTTTATCTTGGAGTAACAAGTTCCTGAAAATCCTTTCTTGTTGTTTGTGAAGTGATAGTGTTAGGTTTGAAGTTAATTTGGCAAAAATGTAGCTGTGGTATAAACTTGGAGTTTCCCTGTGCCTCCTGGATTTGGATGCTGTCATGCTGCCTAATGTTAACAATGACCCAGGCCTGCGGAACCCCTCGGGGAAGTCTGCTCTTGGCACTTCACAGTAAGAGACTTGTTGGTTGATGGCTTCCTTTCATTCCATGTGTTTAAGGCTAGTTTACTGCCCACGAGTGTTTGCATCTTAAAGTAATTTTAAGTCATGGCCTTTGGATTTTTTAAAGTGCAAAAAATGTTTTCTGCTAACTGAAAAATAGCATGCATTTATCCAAAAAGTAAACATTCCACGTTCTTCTTTGGTGTCAAGATGAAAGCAAGAGGTTAGGCCTCTTCACAGTCAGAAGCTTCTAAAGAACAAATGTTGGTACGGAGCCTGTGCGGAAGAACAAGTAAGCTGTGACTCCCAGGCTTGCTTTGTCCCTTACCTTTCCTAGGGGAGCTCTCGGCATGAAAGCCCTCATAGTGGGCTGCCTCATTGATGGTGATTTTCCCCATGTAAAGCAGCAGAAACCCCTGCCAACCTGTAGGCCCAAGCTTGCCTTTGGCTTTCTTTGCAGAAACTGGGTGGCAGTTCATGGGTTCTGGCCAGCAAGTCCCCAGTTTTGTGCCAGCAAGACGCTAAGATCCTTCCAAACCCTCGTGGGTATCATCTCCTGGTGACTTCCTTATCTTCTCTTCTTGAACTGAGGGTTATTCAAAGAATTTGTGTTTCTAGTGAGAGAAACTGAATTACCCAAGAAGTCCTTCTGCCTCATCCCCTTGGAGTCTGTGCACTTAGGTTATGAACTGTGGCATGTTACACAGACTGTGCTGTAACTAACAGGTGGCGCAGGTCCACCTGGCCACATGCAGAACAGCCATAGCCATGATGCCGGCCACGTGCTCTTTCCCTTATATGTGATTCTGACCGTTGTTTCCAGTGTGCTCTCTCCACCCTTCAGTCCTTTGTCATGAGCTGCTCCACAACCTTGGTGGAGAGAGGCAGGGTGGATGTGGAGTATGATAAGTAAGTAGAGCAAATCTGAAGTTCTTCCCTGGCAGCATCCTATAAAACTGGATTTCTTTGTAGCCTACCATTTTGAATTCTGAAGCTACTAATATGGAAAGTCCAAGGTATATTTTTTAAAAACCAGATGAATCAGTGCGACATCATCTTATGTCTCACTTGGCTTGGTGTGGATTGATACACCAGGATTGGCAGTTACCTGTAATTTCCCCCCCTTTATCTTACTTCTAACTTGAGTCCAGCTAGAACTGGGGGGGGGGTGTCACCGAGGAAGCAGAGTCATGGAACTGAGTCCTGGGTCCATCCTGCTGTCACTTGCTGTTCTCACGGTAGCCCCATTTTCAGAATTCCCCGACAGTGGTTCCCAGGCTAAGTTTTCTAGCGTGTGGTCAAGGAAGAGTGCCTGGAAGATGTATTTGATCTGGAATATTTAAACCTATCTCTGTACCATTGCTAAGAGTCCCATCACATCTGAGATGTCATGCCATTGTCACTGGGTGATGTCACCTGTTATTGCCTTCCATACTTTGTGTTCTTACTGTGTTCTCACCCTATGGCTCTAAAGGTTACAGCGAAAGGAGGCGGTGTCCCTTGACTGCGGGACTAGTGGCAGGTCATCCGTCTGCCCCTCCGTCACTTTACCGTGGTGCAATAGGTTCTCCTGCCCTCTCTAGTTGTGAGTCCTGCTGTTTAGAGGAGACTAGTCGGCGTTTCTTCCCCTAACCACTCCACGTTTGTGTGAAGATAACTCTTGGGTCATGTATACTCTCTCTCTGTTGCTCCTCTTCCTTGGCTTCCAGATGGGCCGGCTTGGTTGTTCCAACATAGAGGAGCCTGTTCTGTCAGTGTCCTGCTCACAGCCTGGTGCTCTGAATGGAGCAGTTCAGCAGTGGATGGCCAGCTCTTTGATTTTATTCATCAGCTGACTTCTTGTACATTTAACTGGAAAGTTCAGAGGGAACTAATCATAGGATGGGGGAAGCTCTTTGCTACTCATGCTTTTCCTAATGTCAGAATGGTTTTTAATGCATGCCTTTTTTGTAGGTTTATTACAGTTTTCTTTTTTTTTTTCTCTCTCTTATTTTGTTAGCTTGTGGAGTCAGATTTGAGTGACAACGGCCAGGCATCTTTGGTGAGTGAGGAAGAGGAAGCTGATGAAGAAGATCAGGCTACACCTAGAAGGAGGAGGTCTAGACGAAGCAGTATTGGTCTTCGAGTAGCCTTTCAGTTCCCCACCAAGAAGTTGGCCAAAAAATCAGATAAAAACGGTTCTTCCGAGCAGTTGTTTTCTAGCTCACGCTTACATAACGATAAAAATCCAATTCCTGGAAGAAAGAAAGGCCGTAGGCAGGGGGTGGAACAGGAAGATTCTACCTCTGAGTCTGAGGACTCCAGGGATGAGAGCCAGGAGAGTTCGGACGCCCTGCTGAGAAGGACCATGAACATCAAGGAGAACAAGGCCATGGTAAGGCTTGTGCGGGGGCGGCCAGGGCCTGGGCACAGGGGTTGCTGAGGCCCAGAGAACATGCTGCTCTGACAGCTGCCGCTGCTGCTTTGGCTTCTCTCAGGAAAATGTACTCCGGGTATTGTGCATCCTTTTTCTTTTCCAGAATCCAAAGCAGTTATTACATGATCAGCTCTGGTTTGGGAACAGGAGACTCCCCGGGACCATTTTTAGCCCCCTACATGGTGCCATGAATAATGCTGCTTATTTACTGTTTACCAAGTTCAGTTCTGAATCCATAGCGGTATTGGGGATGAGCGGGGCTGCACCGCGGGCCTGTGCCCAGCAGGGAGGAGCAGAGCAGAGAAGTGGCATGTCGCAAGGTCCACTGGAGAGTTGCAGCGTGGAGCATGCAGGGCAGGCAGGCGGCTTTCCACCCGGAAACCGCTCTCCACGGTGACCAGCTATGGCTTGGGGACATCGTCTGAAGGAGTGGAAGAGGTCCAGGAATTAAAGTGACCTCAGCGGTTTTAATTCACTTTAAAATCTCTTCATTAGAACAATTAATGGAATAAGGTGAAATCATTGTTAGGTATATTTGGTTTTTCTGTATGTGGTCAATAACTGTTAATCTGATCATTCTGGAGAATCGTTTGCTTCATAATTTATAGAATTTTTTATAGTTCTGCCACTCATAGTGTTTTAGCATTTTAATATTTGCCTTTTGAAAAAGCATAATGTTATGGTACTGTATATGCAATCTTGCACGTCTCATAAGTTACTTAAAAAAATAGCCTACTTTTGGATGATTTTTATCCTAAGACACATTTTGCGTATTAGCAAAGGGCAATTTTCAGCACTGTATCCATCTGCATCTTTAAAATAAGAACTATGTCCTTTATGATTTTTTAGTGACACTCACTTAATTGTATAAATCTAAACTAAAAGGAATCCTAGTCAAATTCTCTAATATTAATGTTAATGCCTATTACTGGTGTTATCAGATGTGCATTTGGGAATGTTTTTATCAATTATTTTCATTGATGAGAAATTAACCTAATTATTTAAATTTAGAATCAGAGTTTTGGAGCTCTAACCATCAGAATAATCTAGTGGAACTTTTTCTGTATATAACATGCGAGGACTTGAGGTGCAGGTGTGCAAAGTGATTTGTTCCAAGGTCACATTGCTAGTGAGCCTCTAGGTCAGGATCCAGACCTCATGCTCCAGGCCTTAATGATTCCAGGACTGTGTTCATAGTGTCACGATCCTTATATATAAGGCATAGGCATAACGTTTATTCATATGAATGATAACATCGGCATCTTACCTCTGGAGATAAAGTCTTTACATTGTGAGATTAACAGTATAAATGTTGAGGGTTTCATAAACTGCTTCAGTTAGGTTTCTTACGGTAGCAAAACTGAAGACTTGTGTGTGATAGGTGTCGAATGACCAAGACCTGGCAGCATTATTTACATAAGATCCTTTCTTTTGTTCTGAACTTCAGCTTGCCCAGTTATTGGCGGAACTGAACTCAGTGCCAGATTTCTTCCCTGCACGAACCCCGACCTCAACTTCTGTAAGTGGAACTCCTTATAATTATTCATACCGATACTGATATCTAGTAGCCGCTCACCAGATGGCTTTTATCCAGGCGCCCCCAGTTGCATATGTCCGTGCTCTTGGTTTCAGAAGAAGAAAACCGCGAGGCGGGCGTTCTCGGAGGGACAGATCACGCGGCGCATGAACCCTACCCGGAGCGCGCGGCCTCCTGAGAAGTTTGCTCTGGAGAACTTCACTTTCTCAGCCGCCAAGTTTGCAGAAGAGTTTTACAGCTTCAGAAGAAGGAAGACGATCAGTGGGGTATTTTCTGACTGATAAATGAACTGTTCTTTGTCTGAGCCTCTGGTCCTGAAGCATGCATCACGGACGCTCGGGGGGGCTGGTGAAAGGGCAGGGGTTCTGACTCAGTAGCTCTGCAGCAGCTGAGAACTTGCATTTCTTCAAGTTCTTGGTGATGCTGATGCTTCGGGGACCACACTTTGAGAGGAACCCCTGGTCTAAGCTGTAGGTCACAGGGACAGTCCTTTATTCAAGCTGAGCTGAGAAGCAGCTCATTCCTTAGGCCCCCAACTTGATCTCTGGTGCAGGCAGTGAAGGCCCGTGGACAGCTGCCGTCAGCTTCCTGGGGGTTTTGCGTGTGGAAAAGTATAGTGAGTCCTTGGCCTCTCTGTTTCAGGAGTGGGAGTTTCAGGAATTTTCGGTCTAGAGGGAGAGACTTGGACCCTTCCCATCGTGGGTTTGGCTATTCAGTGCAGTTCACCTTGGTTTACTTTCCTGTCCCCATAGAGCTAGAGCTTAAATAAAAAAGAACCAAGAAACCTGAGTTTCTCATTTCCATTGTTGTTACACCACCTTGCCGAGAAGGAAGCTTGGCAGATTGGCAGCAGCTCAGTAAATGACAAAATGAATGAATTGGTTCCAGGGAACTAGAAGAAGGACAATGATTAATGTTAAGGATGTTAGCTCTTTGAGAGGTTAAAATTTTTATAATTTTTGTTTGGACCGCTCAAAATCTGACTCCAGGTTCTGCTTGTGTTCGTTTTGCAGGGTAAAGGCCGGGAGTATAGACGACGTCACCGGATATCTTCCTTCCGGCCAGTGGAGGATATCACCGAAGAGGACTTAGAAAACGTTGCCATAACCGTTCGAGATAAAATCTATGATAAAGTGCTGGTAAAGTGTACATTATGAATAATCGGCATGATTGTGATTCTTATCAGGAGTCTAAGGCATTGGCATTTGAGATCCTATACTGTTTTTAAGCTGTCGTCAGGCCTACGGTGCCATCTCCCCTGGGGCTCAGAGGCAGGCTCTAAATTGGAGGGTCAAAGGTCAGCGGTGACTGGGAAAGGGGAGGTAGTGCAGTAGTTCTCATTAGGAGAGAGGGCTCTTGGGGATGCATAGAATTTGGGGGAAGGCAGGAGCAAAGTTTAAAAAGGATTTTTATATATAATTGTTATATTTAAAATATTTATATAGTTCTATATTTTCAATATTATAAAAGATAATGTATTGGGGTGGGGGGAGTATTATAACCATAGACAATAAAGTTTGACAGTATCTTTGGTTTATAGGAAATGGGTTAAAATATATTCCAAGTTGTGATTTAGAGGGAGGCTTCATGGTGTTCTGCATCGTTTTTTGGGGGGATATGTAACAGAATGCTGCCTTAAGGTAGTATTAAAGTTTTAATTAGGTTGACAACATTTTAAAACCAGGAGATTTTACACTGAAGATACCCAGGTCTCCAGCACTAGGCTGGAGCAGAGGCGATGACATCCAAGGCTCATTGCCACTTGGTCACCTGTCGCCTTATGGGAGCTCTGCCACTCCTACCTCAAGCTTTCTTCTGGTATCTCTTTCTGATGGCCTGTTTGGTTCCTCCTGCCTCCCTGCTCAGCCTCATTTGGCCTAATATGCTTTTCTGGGCCCAGAACTGAAATGCTCACAGTCTAGGGGAAGATGGCATGGTTTGTGCTAGGGAAATAGCCCCGCTGGATTCAAGGAGACGGGCAGTGCTGCTGTGTGCACCTGGTCATGCACATGGCAGCATCTGGCCTCACAGGCATCACCGTGTAAACCCCTGTGCTGACGTGCTCACCGCCTTCCTCCCCTCCAGGGTAACACGTGCCATCAGTGTCGGCAGAAGACCATTGACACCAAGACAGTGTGCCGGAACCAGGGCTGTGGCGGCGTGCGAGGGCAGTTCTGTGGGCCCTGCCTGCGGAACCGCTATGGGGAGGACGTGAGATCGGCGTTGCTGGACCCGGTAGGAACGGTGTTTGCATTTGTCATCACAGTCGTGTTGGCGAAGGGAGCAAGCTGAAGATGGGGCTCCCTGGGTCCTTACTGGCACCAGCAGATGCAGAGCTCTGGTTTCTGTAGAGCTCTCTCCACCTTGCCCCCCTTCCTTTTGCATCTTAAGACTCTGGTGGAAATGAAAAAGAGAATTTCCTTTTGGAAAGAAAGCAAGCCGACCAACAGATAGAATAGGAGAAAGCTTGTGTTGGATTTTCCAGTGTCAGAGCCAAACTTTTCTTACAGTTGTCTGTTTTTGTACAAGTCAGTCCCTCTGCCTTTCTTCCAGCAAAGTGATTTCCCTTCAGTTTTCTTGGGCAGGCCAGGGGCTGGGGAGATGGCAGCACAGAGTGCTTTCTGTGTGCCCGGCTCTGTGCCATGTGTGTTTCACATCTGTTAACACACATATTTTCTTTTCCGTTATTTCAATTATTAATTTGTTCATCCTCATGAAGTAGGTATATAGCTTCTCTCTGTAAAATCAAGTAGTAGTATCATGGGCAGTAGGCATGACCTTGAGCCTGGGCCAGAGTGTGTACTAGTACCTGCTTCACAGCGATCTCTCATGCAGAAGTCAGGGGGAAAATATACTGTCCTCGATCGACAGATGAGCGTAAGCTGCTGCTTAGGCTAAATGATTTAATAATAAATACACATATTGGAAGGGCTGGAATTGATACCTTGATCTCTTGGAAACCCTGCACTCCTAAAATTAGGGCTGACTTAACGGGCTTGTGACCTGCTCAGTCACACGGCCCCACAACTTGGCTAAACACTCTTTAAATTCTCTGTCATTTCTGAGCAGGGAGCCCTACTAATTAATTGCACTGCTGGTCTTGTCTGAACCTAACATTTTTCAGTGTGTGTGTGTGTGAGACGTGGGGTGACCAGCCTTTTTGGGCCTTTGTGAGACCGGTACACTGAATAAGCCTTCCCACCCCATGACACAGACGGAGAGATAAAGGTTGGAGGAGAGGCCAAGCCGAGCCCCTGCGGCTGGATCAGAGTCCCAGGTCATGCCAGAGCCTGAGGATAACGGGGGAAATTTCTGCTGCCTTCTCTCTTAGGGCTGGGTGTGTCCTCCCTGCCGTGGGATCTGCAACTGCAGTTACTGTCGGAAGCGTGACGGCCGCTGTGCCACAGGAATCCTCATTCATCTGGCCAAGTTTTATGGTTACGACAACGTTAAGGAGTATCTGGAGAGGTGAGTCTCCAGCAGCTTAACAGTGGAGGTTGCAATCCCCGGTCCCGCCTGGGTAGACCCCCTAGGCCCGGGGAGTTGTTGCCTCATTGCACGGCTGATTTATGTGAACCACCTCCAGTGCCACCCCATTCTGTGTGCATTAGAAAAATATTTCCCCTTGTGATGTGGAACAGAAGTGGAAGGTGTAGACAAGGCGGGCTGAGGGAGAACCCCACAGATCATGAACAGCAGGAGGCAGCATAACTGCCAGGAGTGGAGAGAGGGGGAGGTCAGGTGTTGTACACGTAGGACGAGGAGACAGACGTGTGGATTACAAGTTTTAATTTATGTAGCGGACACTCGAGTCGTGGTTTTGGAGCGTGGGCGTGGGGCATGTCACACTTGGGGCATACTGTGCTGCAGGTAACACTACTATTGAAAGCAATAAGGAGTCAGGATTTTGAATGTCAGGAGATCGAGGTTCTGGCTTTGTACTCCTGAGGCAGGTATTGAACCTCCCTAGCTAGAATGCCGCTTTTGTATTTGTTTTAACTGCTTATCGGTCACTTCTCTTTTTCTCAGCTTACAAAAGCAGCTGGTAGAAGATAAGTAAGAGAAAGAAGATCCAGCCAACTGACCCTAGAGACCTCCAGCGAGACACGCATACCATTTGTGCCTAAGATTTTTACAGTTGTGTTTTTACACAGAAATTCTTTGTAGAGCTTACTGTTTCTAATTGTTTATATGTCTAAAAAGAGATTTCTCAGGAAGACAGCAAAGCAGAGGAGTCCTGAATTGTTAAAGGTATCTGCCGATGACTAAAAAGCACAATTTAAATGGGGTGGAGTTAAAGTTCAGGTAAGTTAGAGAGAAGACATTGTTTAATTACCCACGCTGCCTTGCTCTTTTACTTTCCAAACAGTAACTCTAGGCCAAGCGTGTACAGGGGTTGTTTGTATATCCTCTAATTGGCCTTTATCACAAGTAATGACACTTCAACCCACAGAGTTTATAACCTCCTCGGAGACCTTGGAAATTTATATTCAAGAATGATCCCCTAAATTACAAAGTGCAATTAACCAGAGAGCGTGAGAGTTACCAGAGTTTTATTTTTATTAAAACTTGACGGAACAAACAGTAGACTGTCACGTTCCAGACACTGGAGGCCCCGGGTCCACTGCTAGCCGGCAGGGACGTCGGCCTCTTCCTTCAGGACTCACCTGGGGCCCGCTGCTTTCATGGTTTGAAAGAATTTAAGGGCTAATTCTTAATTTAAAAAGATTTTGCTGTTATCTCCCTTCCAGTTGCATTGCTTTTGAGGTGGTGGTGTGTGCAGAGGAAGCTTGATGAAAACCTGATACTGTTCTTTTGTGTTGGGGGATGGGGTGTCAGGGAAAGCTAAAAAGCTAAAAATCGGTGAGCAGCATAGAGTCTCAGTAGGTTTCCAGTATTTTTTCTTCATGTGCTGCTTTTTTTTACCCCTGCCTTCTAGTGTCTTTAAAAAGTAAATGCATGTGTAAGTTACTAAAAATTCAGTAGAATAACTCAGCATGCATGGGACGGTGCAGTGACACAACCGAAAGTCCTCACCGTGCGTCAGTCTATGCTTCCAGCAGCAGGGCCACTCCTGCCAGAACCCATTTTGCGGTCTTCTCTTTGCTCTTCAGCCTGAAGGTCCAGACGTAGCTGGGGCCTCTCAGTTTGGTTCTGTACACGGGGCACTCATAGGTGTGTTTGGTTTCTTGTCTGTCCACGGGGCTGGCTTTTGCAAAGATGACCGGCATCGTGGATGTCAGCTCCTTGAGGCGGGCTTCAACAATGGTTCCTGACTGGGTGTCCCATCTGGCACCTAGGGCAAAAACAGTGTTGTGGCATGTTGGTACTGATGATCTGATTGTTGTTTGATGCAATAAACAGTTCCGGTTTGGTCACGTTTTTGCTTGTCAGTGGCATTCTTGGTTTTTTGAAACAGAGTCTCCCTCTGTTACCCCTAATAGAGTGCAGTGCTGTCATCAACCTTAGACTTCTGGGCTCAGGTGATCCTCCTGCCTCAGCCTCCCAAGTACCTGGGACTAGGGACTATAGGTATGTGCCACACTAATTTTGCTGTTTTTAGTAGAAATGGTGGTCTTGAACTCCAGCCATCCTTCCTCATTGTGCTAGCATTACAGGCATGAGTCACCATACCCAGCCTGTCAGTGGCATTCTTACTGAGCTGGCCCGAGGGGGAGGTTAATTGGCCTGCAACAGAGGTACCTACGCTCACTTACATGAATTTTTGCTTCTATGCTAAACTGTTCTGTGGGAATAAACTAAATAATTTTATGGAAATCAGATTCTCTGAGAATTCAGATACATTAAAGCAAACTGTTGTGCCCTTTGTTAAACAAGAAATCTCCATTTCACCATATTCCCTCCTCACTGCACCTGATTATGCCAAAAAAGATTTGAGCTTGTGGCACTTGCATTTAAAGTAAAAATGGAACATCTTGGTAGGGACTAGATGTCCTGAAGAGTAAATGTATGGCCAGACACATTTGGAAAATGTTGTATTGTCTATTCCCCGCCCCCCCTTAGAGATTCACACTGTGCAATGGACATCGTAAAGGCTTGGGAAACTCTTGTAGTAAAATATTAGAGCAAATTTACTGACAGTCTTTAAAACTAGAGGAAAGAGTTTGAATTGAAATGCAAAATAATGTAAATTCTTTGGCATTAAGACCTAAAATTTGAGTGATAGCCATCACCCCAAATGCTTCACAATTGGGCTCACATTGGACACTCATCCTGGCATTTAAATTGCTTGTTTGAAAGAAAGAGGAGGAAATCAGATAAATAACCACTGGCATAAGCTTACTGTGTGAGTAGATGCTGAGACACAGAATGAACAAAGGACGGATACCAACTTGAACCTGAGTCTGAAAGGTTCTACACAGATGCTTTAGGGCCTCTTACCTTCCATGAGGAGCCCATGGAGATATGCACCTTCCCTGGGGGGATGGCCGTAGTCTTCCTTGGTTTTTTTGGTGACATCAACAGTCAAACACATTTTATCCAGTGGCCACTCATTTTTTCGAGCCATGGTCTGCATGATTGCTTTGGGATGAAAAGGGACAAAAAAAAATTTCAGGTAAGGTTCCCAGGAACCAGCAGTAGGCTGAGGCATCCTTCAGCCTCGTGGGCATTTGCACGTGGCTGTACTAGCGCAGGGGTTGGAAACTATGGCCTGCAGGACCACCTCACTTTCCTGTAAATTCAGGTTTACTGGGGCAGCCACGTGTTTACATACTGTCTGCAGTGGTTTTTGCACCGCTGTGGCAGACTGTGCAGCCCTTTACCAGAGCACACCGTGCCCCACCTCACTGAGGCCCCCTGGCCTCCTGCTAGGCACTTCATTCCCTCCAGAGCTGTCAGTCTCTCCCACTCCTTTTCCGTAGTGGCTGTTGCTGGCGGGTTGGGGGGAAGGGGCAGCACGGGAAGGGGCGTCACAGGAAAAGCCAGGCAAGACCTCCGTGTGCATCTGGAACTGCCCTGCCGCAGCCCTTACCCGTTAAGAAGGCCTGAGGATTGAAGAAACCAGAAAGCCACACTACAGCTGGGAGGGCAAGGTCTTGCGTCCAAGTGTCCAGTTCTCGGCATCGCAGGAGGAGGTCGTTAAACCTGGTTAACAGGAGGTAGGAAGAAACAAACTTGCTGCTTAGTAAAAAACTGCCATTTTCCAATAAGTTCTGGGGAATGGGTTGGGGGAGGGGAGGAGGAGAAGTGTACCACTGAGAGCCAGTAAAGTCCTTTCTGGTGACTGGCTTTGTCCCTTTACAGGGCTAGCTTGTTTCCTATTGAGATTTTATAACTGCAGCTCTTAATAGATATTATTACCATTAGTGGCAAGACACACTGAGGAATGTGGGAAAGTCATCTCCACTGCTGTGTGTTGATTCTCCTAGTGCCATGCAGTGACCATGCAGAAGTCCTCTCTCTGTGATTTGGACCGACAAAGCACCAAAGGAGTTGGGTGTGGTGGGAACGCAGCAAAAAACACCTATGTCCGAGGACGGGAGGGCAAGGCTGTGACGGTTGTCATGAGACCAGGGTTGCCAGGAAAGGTGGGGACAGCTTGTGCAGTGGGGCATGTGACAATAGTCTTCCCACATATGATAATTATCTGAAAAGGGGTAGGAAAAGGTTATTAAGGAAAACAATCTGCCATCAGTTGCATGTCTGTGGTTTGAGAAATGCTGTTTACACACACACATGCTCTCATCTCCTCACAATGGTGCAAGGTAGGACGTGGCTGCAACTTACCTGTAAGGAAGGTGGCTCACAGAGGCTAAGGGCAAACGACTGTCTTTGATAAAATTAGGAGAATTGTGAAACCTTGAAGTGTAGGTTTAAAGGCTGCTAAAAAGGGATGAGGAATGGAGCAGAGAGAAGAGCACCTCATCATGAAAGCTAGCAAAGAAAGTAGTTCTCCAGCGCAAGGGGCTCACGGGCTGGCTCTGAAGCTTTCTGGACCTTGTTTGGTGCATAGCTGCACAGGAACTAGGGCTGAGTGAGGAGTCGCCCTGACAAACCACCACTGGGGAAGGTGTGTCTGCCTAAGGTATTTGGTACTTGGCCGTCTGCGGGCTGTGAAGAAGGAAAGGCTCGGAATGTTCACGTTCCAACTTGGGTCGCTACAGGGAAAATTCCTGATGCCTTAGAACGTGGATCTGTGCCCTGGCCCCTATTAAATTCTTTCAAATAGTTGGATTAGGAAAAATGTACTGGAAGATAGTAAAAAGGAACAGCACAAGCTTTACACAAAGATGATGCAAAAAAGGCAAAGATCAGGAAAGGCAAGTTCAGAAAATGACTCTTCCCACTAAATGTTGCCACATGAGGACAGACGTTGCAGCCAGCCAACTTGCAACAATTTAAAAGACATGAAGTGATTGCTTATGTAAACAGAATCATGGCTTAGGGAAGGGATCAGGGAAGAAAAAGTGAGGACATTAAGTTGGTAGATCTCAGGAAATAGAAAAAACAATTATAGAAATGAAAGCAGAAAGTGAAGCAGCATAAGAGAATAATAAAGGGTTACAGTGAAAATAAGATGAAACTTAAACAAAATAATGTAATTCTAGAAGATTTTAGTTTTCTAAATTACAAACTTGAATCTGTATAATCATGTTCCCAGGAAACTTGGCACAGAATAATCAATACTAAAGTATATCTTAATAACATTATGGACTATGATGATAATCCCCTGGATGACCAGGGAAGAAATTATGCAAACTTAGGACATCTCCACGGCAGCATTTGACCAGGGACAGAGGGATGGCTACAAAGCCCTCCAACTGAGTGTTACCTTTTTTTTTTTATAACCGAAGTGTCATTCAGATATAAAGACAAGAGACTATATGGCACAAAAAACCACCAGCAAGTTCAATAAATAGGAAGGTTTATAACCCAGGAAATAAAAATAGAAGAATCTTGGAAAAGAGACCCATTTATAAGTATGTTTAAACTCCTCAGAAAAAGAATAAAAACCAAAACAGGAAATTATGAAACTAGGTCAGGCATTCTTCCAAAAATGTAAACAACTTGAGACTGAAAGTTATGGACACCAAAAATTAAATA